TCCCAGTCTCTCTCCCACCGCCCACCGTCCTCCCATTCTCTCCCTTCTCGCCATCGTCACTCTCCGCCGTCGAATCCATATCCGCTGCCGCCACCGTCCATGCACAGTCCCCACCAATTTGCCTCTCCAGGCCCGTCCATCGTCCACCAGCTTCCTTTTCGTGGCCTCGACGCCCTTGCACAAGTCGCCACCGAGGAGGCCCGGCGAATGAGCAGTGGCAGCTCCACCGAGCCGGAATCACAAAGACGTCCAAGTCCTTCTCTCGAACAACGCCATGTTTCTCAACACCAGCACTTTCACCATTCCCAACAGTTTCGCCAGCCTAAACCACCGGACGAATACGCCCGTTCCCCAATTCACTACCAGTCTCCGGCCCTCAGCCCTGTTCGAAGCCCAGCTCAGCCTGTCTTGAGCCCCATTCAGCAGCCCAGTCGCAGTCCAGCCTATTCACCATTGCTTCAGCACCAACCACAACATCGTCATCGTGCTCCCGATAGACATCGCGTTCAACAGGAAGAGTCACACATTCGTCTGAGCCCCGTCGAGGATATACATTATCGTGCTCCTCAGTCCTCCTACTTTTCCCCACCGCTCCAACCCCAACCCTCTCGACAACAACAGCCGGAACATGAACTCCACCTGTTACAACAACAACAACAACAACACCAACATGAACTTCAACGCCAGCGCCAACACCATGAGCAGCTTCTGCGCCAAGAGCAGCAGCAGCAGCAGCTTGCTCGAGAGCGCCATATCAGCTTTCCAGAACGATCTGCGCCGCTACCTCCTTCCCATTTGCACCGCGGTCCGTCCTTGCCCCTACACATCGAAGTACCCTCCCAGTCGCTCCATCGCCCGCCCCCCGTTACATCGGCTCCCACTAGCGGACGCAAATCAGATCCAGGCCAACTTCACCGCGTCATGGCCTCCGTCCACACCGTTACAGCTCCCACTATGGCCACGCACTTATCCCTCGAGCCAGTGTCCACCGCCGAGCCTTCCGTGCACACGAACAAGAAGCGACGGTACTCTGACTCACCTTCACAATCGCAATTACATTCGTTATCAGTGGAGGAGCAAGAGAGGCTCCATCGTGAACGGGAGAAGATGGTGACGAGCGGCCTGGGGTATGGGCGACCTGAGCCGGCTGTCAATGCCGTTTCAGCTGGCCCTAAGAAACCTGGTTCAGGCCACGGCCATAGTCGGAAACCTATGACATTGGCTGCACTCATGTCACCCGACAGCTCCAGAGAGCGGGTGCATGTCACCAGTGCTGATGTTCCCGCTACAGAGAGCTTGCGTGATGGGCATCCTGTCCGCTCTCCTCCAGGCCGTAGGTCTCCTCCTGGTAGTCAGTCGGGCAGGGCGAAGGCGGCGAGGAAATCGGAAGAGGTGGATCGTAATCTCCATGATCTGACATCTCATGCTGTCCCCGAGAAACCTCGGTTAGTGGAGAAAGAGGAGACAAAGAAAACCCCACATCGACCAGTAACCGATGTTCCAGCAACGGCGACTTCTGCAATTGGAACGGGACCACCGAAACCCAAGTTGCGTCCTCCCCCTCCTGCCCCACCACCGCCACCGCCACCGCCACCACCTCTCAAAGCGACAGAAGACGATGCCCACGAATGGTTCTTGGAACATTTCGACGAGGTCAATGCACCTGCCGCCTCAGAGCCATCCCCACCGCGTGCACCGCCAACACCCCCAGCCCCCACCTCACTTGCTCCCTCTGCTCGTCACCTTTCCGGAAGCCCCGCGCCGAAGAAGCGGACACCGACGCCTACGACCATGCCCGAGGCTGCAGTCGCGCTCGAGCAGGAACTGGAGGACTTGATCGCTGATCCTGAACCTCCTGTCAGCAAAACCGAGCCCGACATGGACATGGACGTGGACCTTGCCGTGACGGAGCTCGTTGCTAAAACACTCGAAGCAGACGACACCAAGGTCGAGGATACTGGCATGGAGGTGGATGTGGAAGATGAGCTGCTCAGCCTGTTGGATGACCGACCTGCCTCCTCACGCCGGCCCGCAACGAAAGCCGCTACTCCTACACCCACTCCTGGCCCGTCGACGTCGAAGCCACTGGCACCGCTGCGAACTGCCTCGAACGGGGGGAGGCACGCTTCACCATCTGGTCCGCCTGTGGTATCAGCTGCTTCGCCCTCTGGGCTCCTGCCTCCCGCCGTGAGACCATCATCCACGCGTCCCACATCCGAACGCGGGTCCATGCCTCCACCGACATCGGTGGCTCCAGGTCGAGGGAAGGAGAAGGAAGATAAGCCTGCGGAGCGAATGGGCACATCCGCCCCGTCGGCCAAGAAGAAGAAAGAACAGGCATCAAAGGTGCGTTGTGTTGCCTCACGCGCGCACTGCACTACTAATCATAAACATAGCCCGGTGCAAAGTCAAAGGCCGCTGCCGCATCCACGTCAGCATCTAAAGCCCGCGCGAAACCTGGTCCGAAGCCGAAGCCTAAAACTTCTGATGCCTCGCTGTCTGCTACCGCTGCCAGATCCAAGGGCGGGAACAAGAAACCTGCAGCGTCGCGGTCCCGCTCGACGTCCGTCATGCCCGGTGGGTCCGTCGGACCCGAAGGCAGCGAAGCAAAGGCGGAGAAACAGGAAGAGGAAGAGGAGAGTGATGGGCAGGAGGACGATAAGTTGTATTGCGTGTGCAAAACGAAGTATGACGAAGATAGGACTATGATTGCCTGCGACCGGTGAGGCGTTTGCTTTTGCTGGTTCACGTGGAGACAGGCGTTGACTGACGTATTGCGCAAATGATAGATGTGATGACTGGTATCACACTCAATGTGTTAACATGCCTGATTCCGAGGTTGATCTTGTGGATCAGTTCATATGTCCTCCGTGTGCCGAAAGTAAGTCTATTTGGTTTGAAACCCAGGAATGCGTTTCTAATATTTGGATTTGCTCGTAGAGAACCCACAGCTCTCGCTCCGGACAACGTACAAGCATCGGTGCCTATGGGGACTCAAGCAGGCCGATCCTTCTTCGCCTAAAGCGTGCCACCGCCCTGCACGAGGCGCATTTTCGAAGTACTGCTCCGACGAATGCGGCGTCAAATACATGCAGTCGCGCGCGGATGCATGGGCCAAGAAGGGTGGAAAGAAGGAGAAGCTCTGGGAGACCGTGAAGGATGCCGAGAAGCGGGAAGGCGTTGCGGTTTGCGCTGAAGATCCTAATCCCGCGAAGATGGATGTAGATGAGCCGTGTAAGGACGAGAAGGAGAAGGAGGAGCAGAAGAAAGGGAAGGTTGAACGAGAGGTCGAGAGGTTGAATGTGCTCCTCGACGGCGTTGTGGAGGTGCGCGAGGAGATCAAGAAGGGGATGGAGACCGTGATTTGGCGGGAGAAGTTGCTGGAATTGGCCACTGAGAGGGCGGTGCAGGTTGGGGAGTGTGGGTGGGACCAGCGGCTCTGCTTTGGGGATGAAGAGTGGGAAGAATTCGGAACGGGCGTTCTGGAGAGTTACGAGGAAGGCAAAGCGGATGAAGATGAGGGCGAGTGGTGGTGTCCGGGAAAGAAGAACTGCGACCGACATTCCGGGTATGTCATGATTCGTGGAGATGCATTCTGTCACACTGACGATCTTCTCCAATTTACAGATGGCAAACTGTCCGGTACAAGGATGTCGAAAAAGAAAAGGAGAATAAAGAGGACGCCCTCAGCAACCTCACGACACGAGAGCGCGAAATTCGCAAACGCATCGAGGACATCCTCGACCCTCATGGACGCAACTGTAACGACCCATCCAGTAAATCGCCGCTCAAGGCCTCTAATGCCAAGCTACCCAATGGTCACACGCAAGGGAAACCCAACGGGGACACGACGAAGAAGGGCAAAAAACGCAAAGCTCCTTCATGATATAGACTTGTATCTTCACGTCTTTCCCTTTCTTCCAGGACTTCTTGGGCGGCGGGCCAAGCGTACTCGTACATGTGTATTCTTTTTCGCTCTGAGGTTTTTGCTCTCACTAGCCAATATGTATACTCTTCGACTTCGTCTTGTTCTGTAGCATTGTTCGTGTTCATTTTCGGGTATCGGTACACGTCGGGAAATCACATCGATTTCATTCTTGTGTACACAGGGGCAAGTGTTCATCTGGCGCAGAGCAAAGTGTGAGTATAACAGTAGTACAATATAGTCCAGATCCCCATCTAAGGGGTAATGAATATGCCTGCGTGCCCCACACGCTGCTCTCCGAACTTGGACGGGTCACCACGATGCCGACCAAACGTTAGTATCCATCCCCCTCGCCTCCCTCTTTGCAGAATCCCTTCTTCTCGTAAAGGATGTGCGATTTGGTCTCTTCACGCTGCTTCTTAGTCTCAGCCTCTTTCTTGTGATACGGCTCCAAGATGTTCCAATCCACCTGTTGCAAAGGAATCTCGTCTTCTTGATCAAGGTCCTGTGCGTCGGAATTAGGTCATTCGAAAGTAGACGGCGTGTAGGACGCACTATTTCGCCTAGCAGCACCACGTTTTCCCCGCGAATGAGATACAGACCCCGCCAGCTTTCCGCGAAGGCGTTTTCGTGGTATATTCGTTCGACCGTGTCCTCCAACACAAGGTTTGCTTGGGATACAGGTGTGAACTCGACTTGAAGTTTGGCGTCGCTGCACTCACCGAATTGATCATATGAGCGCAGGACGCCGTGGAGTTTGCGACCGTCCCGTAGTATGACCAGCATCTTCCCTAGGCAACAACGAGCAAGAAGGAAAGTAAACCATGTCAAGGGATGTGAGGGGAGAAGACGGCTGTGCTCAGGATGTGGTGCGGCTGCAGTTGACTTGGGGTAGACGTACTGTCCACGCAATCTACCAGAGAGCCTGACGTCGTAAATGGGATGAGAGAGTCCATGTTGCTGGACAATGCGAGAGAAGAACAAAAATGAGATTGAAGAGAACGTCCAAGGGACGCTACGATTTGTTTGCTTCGCCAAATATCTCTCTGTAGCAAAAGAGAGCGAGAAAAAATGACGCTGGAAGCAGGGTTTGAACCTACGCGGTGAAACACCAAGTGATAATTGAATGTTCAAATCACTCGCCTTAACCACTCGGCCATCCCAGCTCATACGGTGGGTGGTCTGTCCACTAGCCCTGTTCAAACCGGCGCACGCTGCCATCCTACACTGTACTACGTAGGGACTTGGGAATGACAGGCCTCAGTTGCGTCTAATCTCCGCGTGGTCGCGCTCTGAGCATAACTAGCTCAAGGAATTCTTGGGATTCTCATCAGGCGCCACGTTGAGGAGACGCAAAGTGGATTTCTATGGTATGAGGGATGGTCTGCATCATGATGTGGGCTGGTATGTGCCCGTGTACTCCCACTGTCCTAGTTCCGGCTTGTCTTCGAGTGGTTCCCAGCTACAGGGCAGTGAGTACAGGGCGTTAGCAGAAATAAGGAGGAACGCACGCTTTCCACTCGACCATCTTTGCGGCCAACTTGAGCTCGTCCGACGCGATATCCAACGCCTCCTCAATCTGACCCTCGTTCAACTGGCTCTCTGCTGCGGCAATGTCCCCATTTGCAGCCTCAACAATTTTAAGCTTGCGGTTGACGAGTGCCTCGACGCCTTGTCGGTAAACGGAGGATTGTGGGATGGTAGAGAGGACGGAGAGCGTTGACTGGTAGGTTTTTGTGAGCTCTGGGAGGGGATCTGGGTGGACAGCAAGGCCAGTGATGCCTGTGGTGCGCTTGAGGGCCTGAGCGAGAGGGCGGGTGAGACGGAACATGGGTGGTTGGCGCAAAGCTGGCGTTGGCGGAGAGAACAGGTGCGGCGGAGTCTGAATTGCGGTCTTCACACAACGACCATGGCTGCTGTGGCGTTCAGTCTCTTGTCCTTCAGACAGCAGCTTGTCTCGTCGTCGCGCCCATTTGCCTCGTCGTCGCGAGTAGCCCTCTTTGCGTCGTCCCTTCTTCCCCAATTCCGCGCCCCCGCCTGGACAACTCCCTCCCTCCAGTCTCTGCTCGAGCTCATCCCGCCCTTCCTTCTCGCCGTCCCAAAGTCAAAGATTTCCCATTCACGCAAGTCTATGCGCAGCGCGAACAAGGGACTCAAGGACAAGCAAAGTGCGTTGCCCTGCTCTTGCCTGTATACCTTCGAGACCTAACCGCTCCTCTTCTCAGACATCGTCAACTGCCCCGCGTGTGGCTCCCCAAAACTCGCACACCACCTGTGCCAAAACTGCTACGGGTTCCTTACGCGCTTGGCCAAGAGGAGGAAGGGTGGAGATATTCCAGACTTGTCATGACCCAGTGTGTCCAGCTCGCGTTCCCATCGGTTCTTGACCTCTGAACCGGCGTTTGTTCACACAGACTGTCCATTGAACATTGAACACGTCCTCTCACCTCCGTGCACGCCGACCTAGCTAGCCATTACTACTAATTACATCCAATGCTATTTTTCCTTACACGTGACCATCAGTATGAGAACATAACATTGACAAGAGCCTTCCGAGGGCGACCCGCTCATAAATAAGACCTTCATGACCTGAACCATCACTACCGTCCTCGCGCTCCCCCGCCATGCTCTTCTCCTCGTCCTCATCTATCGTCCACCGTGTTCCCCCCTTGGTGCGCGCCGCCTCTGCCCAAGCTGGCCCCCGCGGCCTCGCTGCTATCCTCCAGAAGAATCCGGAGGATATCGTCATTACCTTCGCGAAACGCACTGCCATCGGGAGGGCAAAGAAGGGCCAGCTGAAAGACGCGCCTGTGGACGAGATTCTGCATTCCCTGTTCAAGGCAAGTCGGCATGCTCATGCTCATCAACCTATATCGTGACCGGCGCTACCCCCACCCAGGCAACTCTGGAGAAGACCCAGCTAGATCCCTCCAAGATTGATGATATCTGCGTCGGTGTGTAGTTCCACACTTGCGCGTCGACACAGCTAATTTTGTCCCAGGAACCTGCCATCCTCCGTCGCCACTGTATGTCTCACGCGCTGCGGCCTTGGCTGCTGGTATACCCCACGACGTGCCTATCTCCACTGTGAACCGGCTATGTTCGTCGGGTCTAATGGCAATCCGCAACATTGCTCACTCTATCCAGTCCGGGGAGGCGTCCCTTGGTCTCGCCGTCGGTGTCGAGAGCATGAGCCTCAAGTGCGTACCTTTGTCTCTATCTCCTCAACATGTCCTCTCATGATTGATATAGCCCCCGTCCCACGCCCGAGGTCGTGGATATCGTGGACAAGAACGCAGAAGCCCATGACTGCATTCAGGTATGTCACAAAGCTCGATAACGCGTACAGCGGCTTTTAACTTGCATGGCCAGCCGATGGGTTGGACCTCCGAAATGGTCGCACAAACTTACAAGGTCTCGCGCCAGAAGCAGGACGAATACGCGTTAATCTCGCATACGCGCGCCACCAAGGTGCTGACCGCGTTCTTCAGTTCCTCCTCCTCACATTCAATGACCGAATTACCCAGGCTTCAGCGGAGGGCATCTTCGTGGACGAAATTCTTCCCATTGAAATTAAAGGAGCGACGATTTCGGTGGACGACACCATCCGGCCGGGCGTCAGCGCAGAGTCCCTCGCTTCCCTCAAGTCGGTGTTCCCCAACTGGGGTGATGCGTCCACCACGGCTGGTAATGCCAGTGGCGTCGGTGATGGCGCCGCTATTTGCGTGCTGACCACCCGTGAACGCGCACAGAGGGAGGAAATGGAGATCGTTGGCAAGTGGGTTGGGAGCGCTGTAGTCGGTGAGTCGGACGGTTGTCTGTCGCATCGCTGGGAAAGTGACGTGACGGACTTGCAGGCGTGGATCCCAAGTACATGGGTATTTCGCCAGTCAAGGCCGTCCCTAAAGTTCTTGCGCAGCTTGGCTTGTCGAAGGAGGACATCGACGTCTATGAAGTGAGTCCATTGGCTTCTATGTTTCATCGTGGGGCATGACTTGCTTGCCAGATCAACGAAGCCTTTGCTTCGCAATTTGTTTACTGCGTCGAGGAGCTCAAGGTACCCATAGAGAAGATCAACCCGAAGTAAATCTTCTTGGCGAATATTTTCTTCTCCTTGTCGCTAACTGACAACAATATAGCGGCGGCTCAATTGCCATCTCCCACCCTCTTGGGATGAGTGTGTCATCATATACCAAGCTTGTACCAGGCTCCGTATTGACTCCGTTGTTCCACAGCTGGTGTTCGTCAAGTCGTCACGGGTCTTGCTGAGCTTCAGCGCACCGGTGGAAACCTCCTTTGCACGAGCATGTGCGTTGGCAGTGGAATGGGCGCTGCTGCTGTTTTCGTGAACGAAGCTCGTCGTTGAACGTTGATCATCTGGACATGACCGCCTGTTGTATCTACCACATACAAGCAACCATTGTAGTGGATTTAACTGAACTGAAGTCAGTGTAGACTGAAACTGGCGTTCGGATCATCATTAAATCTGTATGTTTGTGTGGCGCAGATATACTCGTAAATAAATTGGCAAAAAGACGACGATTACATTCTTTACAGCGACAAAAGGGTAAATAATACAAACTGCAGGGAATCCTGGAGACCTGAAGAACCAATGATAGTCAGCATTTGAAAGCAAAAGTGCCACAATGAAGAAGAAAAAACACATAATCTCAGCAAGTCATTCATGTCAGTGATTCACGCGAGATAAATCCCGTTGCTCGTGAAGCAGGTCTACTAAGAGGTGCCAATTGGTTGTAAGATAACAACACTCGTCATTGAAAAGGGAATGCAAAGCGAAAGCTGAACAAAGGAGACGAAACTCACTGTCGGCGGGTGATGGTGAAAGTTCAACAAATGAGCGCCGGGTTTAAATATGACTGCGGTGATTACGTGCTCCGGCAAACTGCGGTGGTACTATCTATTTCTCAAGCCACCAAAACAACGTGACCCTGAGGAAATATAGTGACCGATTAAGCAAGGCTCGTCGTCGTCGTCGCAAGTCCCCTCCCTCCTCAAGCAACCCACAAAATGGCCACCCAGATCAGCAAAAAGCGCAAGTTCGTCGCCGATGGTGTCTTCCGTGCCGAGCTCAACGAGTTCTTCACCCGCGAACTCGCTGAGGAGGGTTATTCGGGATGCGATGTTCGCGTTACCCATGCCCGCACTGAGGTGCGACTGCTTTCCTGGTACTTTCCAGAAGTGAAATTAAAGTTATTGCTCTAGATCATCATCCGCGCCACCCACACTCAGGAAGTTCTCGGCGAGAAGGGCCGCCGCATTCGTGAACTCACCGCGCTCGTCCAGAAGCGCTTCAAATTCCCCGAAAACTCCCTCGAGCTCTACGCCGAGAAGGTCCAATACCGTGGACTCTCCGCCATTGCTCAGTGCGAGAGCTTGAGGTACAAGCTCCTTGGTGGTCTCGCTGTTCGCCGGTGCGTATAGATCTGTTTTAGATCTGCACCCCCAGCTGACTCTCGATCCCAAGTGCCTGCTATGGTGTTCTCCGTTTCGTCATGGAGTCCGGTGCCAAGGGTTGCGAGGTTGTCGTGTCTGGCAAGCTGCGCGCAGCTCGTGCCAAGTCAATGAAGTTCACCGACGGTTTCATGCTGCACTCCGGTCAGCCCGCCCGTGATTTCGTTGACTACGCTGTCCGCCACGTACTCCTCAAGCAGGGTGTGCTCGGTATCAAGGTCAAGATGTGCGTAACACCATCCTTTTCTCTTATGTTCGCGATCTTAAACTCGGCTCGTTTCTAGCATGAAGGGAACCGACCCCGAAGGTCAGACCGGACCTCGTAAACCCCTCCCCGACTCCGTCCAGATCTTCGAGCCCCCTGTCGACAAAATTGTTTCCGAGCCCTCATCCGAGCAACGGGACCCCGTCGCCGTTGCCGCCCCTGCGCCGGCCGAGGAGACCTATGCTCCTGAGGCATACCAACAGCAGCAGCCTGCTGAGGCATATACCGAGCAACCCGTCTTCTGATTGGCATGTTAGTTTTGTATTGATTCGAATCCATTCAGTATCTCTCGACATGGATCTGTGCGCCTGCCAAGTTCGTCGACACTGACAGCCCAAGGCATGTACAAAAAAGTTATCTATTCAAAATCGTCAAGTAAATCAAATCTGTTGGAGTCATGCCTATTGTCAGCGTCATCAGATCGTTCGG